ATGATTTGAATAATAGAAAACAATTGTGGATAGTTTTTTTATAGTTATTAATTTAAAAATTTTAATGTTTTCTAGTATTTCTAGTAAAGAATATTTGACTTTTGTTCTTGCTTCCCCCTTTAGGGATCCATCTTTACCTATGGGTTGATAGTACAGTGGTTAGTACTCTATAGGTTATATCCAAGATTCTGGTTCAAGTCCTTCAAGTGGCAAAATTATAAAAAATTTTGTTGATCATTGTTGAAGACAGGAATCCACTGATATAACCTGTTAACCTGATGTCACTTATAACTAATTATCATCCTGATTAGATAGGTCTATAAGTAGGTGATACCCACTTCTGCATTATAAACTTGATATGATCAAATTTACAACTGGAATAAACTTAATTTGTGCTTGTTGAGTTTATGGATCCTTAACTGATCAAAAACAAATTCCAAGCTTAAAAATTTAGAAAATTCTGGAAAATAAGAATAAATTCTCTACTGATAGAATATATAAAAACATAAGGTACAAGTGTCATATCCATCTATCAGGAAACCTTGATAGAAAAAGTAATTTGTGCACCATACTAAAATATCTAAAATCTCTGGTATAGGTTAAAGTATATACAACGGTTTGATAACTAAATTACTTTATAAAAATATTCTAAAAAAAATAAAGATAATATCATATGTCCTATTCATATACAAAAATATAAAATGATTCTGTATACAATATGTAGAATAGTCTACTTGCTTACTGTAAATAGATAGACACATAATTACATTAATATATAATCAAAATGTATATAAGACAAATTAATATTGTCTTAATAATCAACAAAGTTAATAAAAAGGACATAACAGAAAATCAAGGACCACACAAACCTGATTGCAGTACAACAGTCCTTAAACTTGACCAGTATAGTGAATAGATACATAAATGAATATATTAAATACCAAACTAATATTTTCTCTATTCTATCCTTTTATATGACAACTAGCATAACCTTGGCATGTTAGTTTCTTCCCTTAAAAAAAAAAAGGCAACAGGTTATGAGATAGCATATAACTTATCAAGTTTTACTATTACTAAATATACATTCCTGTATTATAGACATCTCTATTTTGTACAAATGTAATTTGGAAAAATAATAAACCAAGGTTATGGCAATTAAAAAAAAAAAAAATAGTTTGTATAAGAGAATTAATATTAAGCTTAGAATTTCATTATCCAAATATTAAGTTAATTCTTAATAAAGTGCTTATATCTAATACTAGTTGTAATTTAAAATAAAAAAAAAAAATTCTTATTATTTATTAGAAATTTTATATTCCACTAGCTCAATCTTGACAAGTTAGTTTCTCTTAAAGGATAATAACAAGTTATATGATAGGTTTATTTTTTTATAAAACTTTATTTAATAAACAAAAATAGTTATAGCATATCTATATGTAATTTTTTGAAAAAAACTCTTTTTGCTAATCCTCTAACTATACACAAAAAAGATGTTCGCAAGAAGTTTTTATACTTCTAAGCTAATAAAATATTACTACTTTTCTTAAACCAACTTAAAGAAACTTCAAGAGTCATTAACTATCTTCCCTTTCCTTGCTTACTATTCTCTTCAAATAAAAACTTGATCTCTAGTAATCATAAAGGTCAAGAAAACCTTTCCTATCAATGGAAAGAAAGTTCCAAAAGGAAGAAGAACTAATGTGCCATTATCTTACATTATAAAAAAACACTATAGAAGAGTTTGTGTAATGTATGACAACTTTTTCACTCTCTTGTCACTTGTTGCCTTCTCATAGTACTCGTTCTTGATTTTTTCTAGGGAATTTTGCTTACCTCAGTTTGACCCTGAATTTTGAATAGCACAAAGTTTCTCATACTATAATTGGACAGATAGAGCTCACATTAATAAAAGAATATAAGCAAGCTCCTATTGATCACCTTACGTATCTAAATGCATTTCTTCAACTCTATAAGAACCTGGGATCCACTATAAGTCATTGGGTTTGATGCAGGTAGATATAGGATACCTTCCCATTACATTATTGGTTTCTTCAAAAAAGAGTTTATTCAACTATAGTAAAGGTCACAAGATACTATAACTGGGTTCTATAGTTGTAGTCACCTATTCCTGATCACTGAATAAGTTCCTTCTCCAGCTCTGTCGAATAGGTAAAGATTTGAAGCAAAGTCTTTATAGTAAAGTTGGATTTTATGGCAGGTGAGATATAGAGATCAAATTTTTTCTTTTGGAATGACATGTCTCATTTAAGCATATACATTAGGATGAATTTAGGAGGATCGATGAATCTTTTTCCTGGTGCATAAATAGGATTGATCCGAGTAATTCTTTTTGACAACAAGCCATCCTGTGGATTGGAGCAGTTAGAATTTTACAATATGGATATATTAAAAGTAGCTGAGGAATAGGCAATATGCTCTCAACTAACAAAGCCCTCAAAGAGTAATCAGCCTACAGAATTAAAGTGGTAATAGTAGTGTAAAATTTTTAACTCTTATAGACAATCTTAGAAGTGTTTTACTAATAATTATGTCCTGTATTTGCATTTTGCCTTTACTTGAGACTCTAATAAAACAAGGCTAAGTCACCATTTCAAAAAAAAATAAAAAATCTATATGTAATTTCCTATTAAATTCCATATAACCTGACTATAAATTGTTTGTAAAAAAAAAATTATATAAGCCATTTACTTAAAAAAGACAAATAAATAATTATTATATAAAAATATCATTATAACTTTGATTTGATTTAATGTTCAATAAAGATGAACCATGATACTGTATCATGTTTGTAAATTCAAAAAAAAAAAAATCATGAAAATCTTAACTCTTTTCACCTATTCCTGTTTTATTGCAAACCTATTTAAAAATTTTTTAATAATAGCTATGCATAGATGTGTAATTGCTTTGATAAATGAATTTCAACAAATCAATATTGTTATACTGTATATAGTTTAAATAAAAAATCGGAAAAGAAGAAATCTTGAATGATTAAAAAATTTAATACCAAATAATTATTGATTCGAATATAACTTTTAATCAAATGATCACCAAACACAAACGACGCGTAGAAAATCAATACAATATTTTTCTACTTACAATAATTTCTTTAATTATATTATCGTTTTTTATATTACACTTTTTTGGGGGGGTTTTTTTCCTTCTTTCCTTTAAAGGGATATTTTGCTAAATTGAGGTTGACACTAATATAACGGCGTTTTTTCTACACGGAATTCAATTTTAAAGAGAAGTTTCGGAATCTCGAAATGACGGACTAGAATGTTTGCCCGCTATAAAGAAACTAAATATTTATTTAGGTTTACTATTACTATACCACCACGTCTACATATTGTGATCGAGAAGTATCTAATGCCAATTTTTTTCGCCTCTAAATTTCTATTGACCACATGGCTTCGCAAAGACCCTCAACTTGAATAAATACAAAGAACGACGGTATTGACAATAAGTTTATTAAGTTTTTTTTTTTTTTAAAAAAAAAAAAAAAAGATTACGAATTAATTTAATAATACAAATACAGACCATTGTTCAGTCTTAATTGTAATTATAGCAAAAATCATGATTTCCCAGTTATAAAAGGATGCATTAGCGCCTCTTTTACTGTTAATCGCTTCTCAGGATTTAGATTTAAGCATTTATCCAGCAAATCGACAAAACTTGTCAGCAGTCGCAATTCTTCGTCACTCATGTGTGAGGTCTTCGACATCAGACGCGTTTTAAGATCACGAACGGGTTTGGTAATGACAATAGACTTAATTACCTCCTAAAAAAAAAAAGAAAAAAAAGAAAGATGTTTACCGTGTTGCAAAATTTAACAAAATGCCAATCAAGGGAAATGACTACAAACCTTATTGCTTATTCGATCCGTTTCGTGGTATAGGAAATTAAAATCGTCATCAAAATGGTGTTTTGTGAATAGCCCTTTGCGAAGGGTTTTATGCGAAAACTTGCCTTTAAGTTCCATCATAAGTTTCAACATTTGATTGTTACTTCTACCTGGAAAGAGAATTTTTCCCGTGTAAAGTTCATAAAGGGTGCATCCCACGGACCACATGTCCAGTGCAAAATCGTAAGGTAATCCAATAACTAGGATATGCAATTGAAATTAAGTTTTCAGTTTCAGGTCTGAGTGCACCAATAAAGAAAAAGAAGAAAACTTACTAATCTCAGGTGCTCGATAAAATCTACTAACTAGATATGGAGTAATATCATTTTCTGATGCATCTGATGCAGAGCCAAGATCACACATCTTGAGAGTGTTCTTGGATTCGCTTACCTAAATGGAAAAAAGAATAAACAGACCAAAATAAATATAAATATATATACATGCGCAATTCTTATTATAATGCGTGACGAAATTTAAACACAAATTAAATGTAAACACCTACCAATATATTGTCAGGTTTGATATCGGCATGTAATGCGTTGCATTTTGTCAAGAGTGATAATGACAAGAAGAGTTGCTGAGCATAGATACGAACAGCTTTTATATTTATGCCAACATCCTTACCAAATCTTTTCAATACTTCTCTCAAATTCATGCTGAAATAAAAAAATACATTAATCAGTTAATTCTTCATATCGAGAAAATTTAAAAAAGAAAAAGAAAAAGAAAAGAAAAAATTTTTTTTCTTTTCGATTTTTCGAATATTACTTTACCTTAATGATTCGAATACTAAACACAAATGACCCTTATGTTCAAAATGTCTATACAACCTAATCACATGCTTCTTATTTTCAGGGTCTGCTGCCATCAATTTTTTGAGAATATTTAATTCTTTCATACCAGCTCGATACCTACCAAAACACAAGGTTGACAATCAGAAAATGACACCAAGTTGAACAAATATCAATTCTTCTAATGATAACACTCACATTGTTTCATTATTTCGAATAATCTTTATAGCCACGTCTTCACCGGTCTTGGTATCTTTTGCTTTAACAACAGAACTAAAGACACCTTTACCGAGGTGACTATATACGTGATAACGATTGTCAAGCATCTCGCCCAATAAGACTCCTGTAACGTATAGGGAAACGAGATAATGAGGAGGTGAATTACTAATTGCTTTAATAAATGATTCGACATCGTTTATAATAGGAGGCACACAAGTTACGTACGATAATATCCTTCGGCATCATCGTAATTGTCAACGAGACCTGTGGCATGTTCATGTACCACTATGGGAACATTTTTTACAACCTAAAATCCAAGATTCAGATTAAAGCGATTGAATAAAATAAAATAGAATAAAAAAAGCAAGGCAAAGGACGGGAATCAAACCATTGAAACTTACAGGTATCGATTTAGTGGATTTTTTATTCTCTGATGGAGTAACAAACGTGTCATCATCTGCAAACATGTCAAACTCATCATTTGTTTTGAACTTGGGTTGGTAATTTTCGCTGCGTTCATTCAAAGTTTCCTTGTAATCAGCAGCAAACATATCCGAATCATTATCATCTTGTTGAACGACAGCCTCTTGCGCATCCTTGGTCTTGAGTAGTTCAAGGTCTTTTGCAGATTTGTGATGCAACAGCCTTTCATCGTCCGCGATCCGATCCTTGGTTGGATCGTAGTCGGCAGCGGAAAATCCTTGTTGATCTTCTCCAGGAACAAAGTCCTCGATAGACGCCTCAACTTTCGTTAAAGAAAATGAGGTCGGTGAAACTATCGGTGGTGTGACCGGAGAGATTACGGATGGCGTATCAGAAGATTGGTTTTCTAAAATAATTCAAATGTTAACCGACAAAATGCCAGTTAACAAAATAAAATCAATAAAATAAAATAAAAAAATATAGAGTGCAAACCTGTTGCTTCTACTTTGTTCTCCGCCATCTCTACTGTTGTTGGAGCTGTGGAAGTGTCATTATCAGCACTAGATGAAAGTGTTTCTTCACTTTTATTTTTATATTTTTCTAAAATTGCACTGCGACGTTTGCGTCTCTCCTCGATCAATCTTTCTTCTTCGTCTTCGGCCTCAAAAATAATATCGGTCATTTCTTCCGTAGGTATTTCGCTCTTGGATTGAGAGATGAAACTTTGCGAATCCCTTGAATTGCGGGAAACAATTAAAATGAAAAGTTAGAATCTTGGACAGTGTCAAATCTCAGAATCTACAATGGACTTACGTACCTGGTGCTTATTCCAGTACCAGTGGGGACTGTATTATCTAATTCATATTCAATAATCTTCCTCCCGTTGGTTCGATCGTCTCCATTTCTTCTACTCAAACTTCTCTGACTCCTGTCTCTTTCATAACCCCGATCATTACCATATCCGTCGTCTCGGTCTCTGCTGTGGCCTCTCTCTCTTTCGTATCCCCTCGTCGAACTTCTACGATACTCCCGATCATCATGTCGACTTCGGGATTCCTTGCTTCGTTGACTCACGCTCTGCCGTCGTTCACTGTAACGAGATGAGTGATGACGTGAAGAAGAGTGATGGTCATCGTCAGAGGAAAATTCTTCTCTACTGCGTTTGGATTTACGGGAAGAGGCAGCAGAATGTTCAATACGAAAGGCGGTGACATCGCTACGAGTTTCGTCTTCATCAATGACCATATTGTCGGTCGAGCTTATGTTGTTACCTAAACCATCCTTTCGATGTTTTTCCTCCTCCTCCAACCCATTTTTTCGTTCGGCGTCACGACGGCTGTGATGGCTGTGATAACTGCGATCGCGTTCGTGATGTCGACGGTGACTGTGCGAGTGTTTGCTGGAGTGACGATGCCTACGTTCCTCCCTGTGCCTGCGCTCCCTTTCGCTGCAGTCGCCCTTTCCCCTTTCGACCGCGGAGTCACCCTCGTGACTCCCGGCGCTCTGTCTGCGTTCTTTCGTCGATTCTTCGGTGGCCTGACTTTCAGGTGAGTGTTGTTGACCCGGGCCAGACAAGGCGGCCAATCCATTGGTCATTTCATCAATGTTTCGTTTGCTTTTGTCATCCTCGCTATCAAAAGTTCCAGAGTCATCAACTATCTCACCTTCTTCCGCTTCTGACAGTGTTGGTTTAATGTCCATTATTTTTTTTTCGACAAGGAAATAAATTTTGCGGAAAAGATTAAAAAAGAGATCAGAAAATGTAATGGGTTTCCGAAATAAACAAAAAAAGAAAAATTTGGTCCAAATTCACAAACTGAATGCAGCAAACGGTTTACTATAGAATAAAAAATGATAAAGTCTCTAGCGTGTAGTAGTAGCTGACGAAAGTCAAAGTTAGCCTGCTTATTCCTTTTATCTGTATGATGAATGTATGTATAACCTTGAGGTTTATGAGCAAGTAAACTTTTTTTTTTTTTTTTTTTTTCGGCTTTTTAAACCAAATGAGGGAATCGACACAGCTGCCGGCGTGTCACGTGATGGTCAGTTAATCGTTAATTGTCAACACACATGAAGTGCAAGTCGCTAGAAAAGAGCTCCTCCGGAATAATGTTTTTCAGCGAGACACTGCTACAGGAGCCTTCGGACAAGCAGGCCACCAGGACGTGGTCTGAGGTGTCCTCCTCTCGCTTCAAGTCCCGCCGAAGCAAGCACCCGCGTAAAAAGCAACGCACGAGTTCGCAGGAGTATGACGATCTTCTGGTCTTTGGTTACGAGGTGAAAACCTTTCGTGACGACGAGATGTCGAAAAAAGTAGACGACGGAAACTTCCTCATTAGTTGGAGGGGCGAGACGGAGAATAAAATCTTGCTTGATAGGTGAGCTAGGTTTCTCGGGGCTTTCCTAAAATCGTGACTAAAACAAATGTCCTGCGCAGATATGATGTGCGAAATTTACTTGATGACCGTGAGCAATTCAAAAAGGTATCCTACACGATGTCGCGGAGGAATGAGGACATCGAGCAGGAGAAGATCATTGACGAGGAGAGGTGGAAAGATTTGGATTCTGAATCGGAGGATCTGTTCGAGATGTCCGAGGAAGAAAGAGACGTATACATAGGTATTTCTCGAGTATGCGCCCACAGCCTGTCCTCATTCGCACATCTAAATGAATAAATAAATTGCAGAGGAAAAAAGGGAGAAGAGAACGGTGGGTGAAAACAAGGGATACAGTTATCACTATCAGTATGCCGAGGAGAGTCAATCTCATGGTACGTCGAGTGAATGATAAATTCTCGTGAGAGAGGGTTTCGATCGGATGATCGTCTCAATTGCTTGACGATTACAGATGACGAAGCGGAAGAGACTAGTAAAGTCAAATCATCATCGTCGTCGTCGTCGTCGTCATACATTCCAAAGTATTCCGTTCCTGCGGGCATGGTGACAGTAAGAAAAAAAAAAAAAAAATTCTTGAGATGCACTGCCTTGCAAAGTAATTACCCTAAAGTGAAATTAAACCTTGCAAAATCTGGTAGCCTCTGGACAACCGCGTAGATGAGATCATTGAACGCACCGCTAAATTTCTCAACGCCAGTACCGATCCACAGATGGAGATCGTGATCCAGGCTAAACAAGCCAGTAACCCTAGCTTCTCGTTCCTGAACAAGGAGGACCCGCTTTATCCGTACTATAAACACGTCCGCGTATTGCTTCAGACCGGTCTCTTTGCATACGGAGGTGATGACGAGGATGGCGGCGGATCAAGCGGCGAAGAGAAAAAAGCAAGTTCGGCGGATGATGAGTCTGAAGGTGATGAATCTGCAACGGTAAAAGATAATAAGAAACGAAGAAGGACAAACGAGTCAATTTCATCTAATGTCAAAAGTGGAAATTCCATTTACGCTCAGAATAATAATCAGACGAGTTCTGGAACCTCGAAAACCCCGCAACAAAAATATTGTGTGGTCGTGTATGTATACATGCTCCTCCCGTTCATCATCACAACCTTTTTGAACAAAAAAATGGTCGTCATCTCACGCCACAATCTATCTAGGGTGCCACCACCAGATCTCAAAGCCATAATTGATAAGATGTCTGCTTACGTGGCGAAAAATGGGCAATCCCTGGAAGCCAAGGTCCGAGAGAAGCACATAGATGATCCTCGGTTCAGTTTCCTATTACCGTGGAACGAATTTCACCCTTACTATAAAAAGAAGATTCAGGATGAAAAGTCCACATTCGATTCGGCCGAAAATGCTTCTGCAAAGACGAGCGATTCGTGATTACTATTTCATCATTCCTTGTTGACGGTGACAATATGGTAATGGTTGAATGCATTTCCGCGATTATACAAGATCTTACGATCGATCATCTAATCCTTTTTATACTTAGTGTTGGAAGTAATAAAAAAAATTAAACCGTCTAAATTATTCCGGTGAGGAAAAGAATCATGTATGTACTGTAAATTAGCATCTCTGTTCTATTACCGACCTGCGATTTTAGAGTGGGATTTATTGTCGACGTTCACTTTATTATATTTGTAACATCTTTAATTAAATAAAACGTTCAAGGATCATGTAAATGATTAAAAGTTATGTGGAATGGTTAAATGTGACGTTTTATTGTAAACGAGGTAGCTATAAACCCATGAAAAAGTCCAATACGGGGATAAACACTATAAATACATCAAATAACGACTACTAAAAGTTTTGGGAAGTTGAAACTCCTTGGCCTTACCTACTTGCCTATAAATACATAATAAAGTACATAGCATACAGTATATACAACATCTATTAACTAAAGTTTTTGCCAGCAAATTCTCCAAGTTTGTCGGTTAACTCGCGTATCCTGCTGAGTCTCCTTCCGTCATGCATATCTCTAAAGGAAGGACTATCCATCCTTAATGGACTACCCACTATTTGTCCGTTTTCTCCCGAACCGCTTGCCATATTACTACTTTCGGATCGTAAACTTTCGACTGAATTACGGAGTTGAAGTCGACTCACCTCGTCAGGGATTCCAGCCGGTGGGATTTGAGATTCGTTGATTGTGATTGACGCGTTGGGATTATCATAATCGTCGTGACCTAACAGCGGTTCGCGTTCTTCGAGAGAAGACCCCACGGAGCGAGTACTTATGCTACCGTTCGCCCTTGATATTCGCCGGAAGAATCCAAATTTCTTCGCCCTGTTCACAATCGTTCCTTTAACCGGAAGCCACAACCAAGGAAGTATTCCGTAGAGTTCAGGTGCTCCGTAATTACGTATCCCGGTGTCGAGTACGCCATCGTGTAAAGTCATAGGCGGCTGACTATAGTCGGTGTAAAAGTCCGGTGTGGCACGATAAACGTCATTTTCCAGAGTTCTCCTTGATCGAACCCTACTTTGGGGTGGCGTGACATCACCGTTTTGCGTCGTTTCCTCATTTTCGATCATGGTTTTTGGGGCTGGTGCCAAATTTACATCGTCAGAATGACTTTGAGATTCCTTTTCCTCTTTCCTTAAAGTCATCAGTGGGATATAGGCGGAACCTCGGTCGTATGCTTCGTCCACATAATAATAATAAACGGCGGTAATAATGAGAAGCGGAACTAGGCTACTGGCCATGCCGTAACTTTTCCTCAAAGATAAATACCCGATCATCAAGATCTGATAGATGTATAGTCCAACGATAATTCGGTGGAATATTTTTGGCCACGCCAGACCGGCAGTTTCATAAGGATGAAAATATACTAAGAAACAAAAAGATACAGCGTATATAAGATTTGCCCCCTTTTTAAAAAAAAAGAAAAAAAGAAAAGGGTAGATTTTCGTACCGTATAACAGCAGATATTTATATGTCAGATAACCCAGGAAGAAATAAATCGTTCCGAAAAGAAGAATTAAAGGCGCAATTGAGGAATACACGAGGACGATGACAAATGCCAAGACAATGGGTGGTAATCTTTGCCCGTAATCGAGGAATGGCGGAGCGTTGGCTTCTGCATACTCCCGGGGCGTTCGCGAAAGGAAAACGCGCGAAAACCATGCAGAAAGAAGTTCTGGAGCCTGCAATAATTGAACCGGAAACAAACCAATCCCTTGCAGAATGATAAGATTTATAAAAAAATTTGACACCTTTGCCGAAAAGCAACATTTATTTGTCTTAATAAATCCGAATTGAAGAAGAAGTTGCAGGCATTAAAATGTGATCCTCCTACCAGGGGCAAGGTTGTCGCGAGCTTGTATGGGATTTTCGTCGGATCCTTTATAATCTCCTCGAGCTCATCGAAAATCTTGGCAAAAGTACCCGCAATCGAAAATATGAGTAGAACATTCACCAACAGGAAAAAATGATACCTAAAGAATAAAAATGTTAGAGTCAATCTAGACGTGCAAACAACTGGACAGAAAATATGATGCATACTTGGCAAATGACGAGAGTTCGATCACACTGCGAGCGTGAAATCCTTGAAGCGCAGAAAGATCTTTAAAATAAAAATCAAAGAATGCTTAGTCATCTGTGATACTAATAACACGATTTACTTTGGCATTACAATAGATACCGACATGACATGGCCTTCGGCACCATGGCATCGAACAACAGCACCAAAAGAGTCGGGACTGTTCCCTGAATGAATCCTTTTAATACTTTATTTTTATTCGCTAGACGCGCCAACCATGGTAATATTTCTTTCAAAGCGTCCAAACTCAGCATGGAACTAAGAAGCGTGGTTATCACGGACCAGAAAATTACCATAATTACGACCGCAACATTGACGATTATGCTGCGGAGAAGCATTTCACGTTGACGAATGGTAAGGTTGCGCCAATAACTAAAAGAGAGTGACAAGGTAGAGAAGTTCTTATCATTTGTATCACCCGACGTTATTTGCTTTTTGAAAGTTACTTTTAACCTACACATCACGGGGCTCGGGTGCAAGCGTGGTACGACAATGATATGGTTCAGGGCGTATAAGGACTTGTGCTGCTATTTGCTGAGAGATATAACCAAACATTTAGACTCTTTCTTTGAATTTTTAATTCGTAACTGAGGTGTCGAATGATTGTCTTAATTACCGCACTGGTTATACTTTCAAAGGTCACAAATCCGACTGATGTTGGATTGTACGTGCCATGTCTGCCTTTTTCCACCAGCTTATCGAATCGATCGAAGAGGTTGGTGTAATAATCTATTTTGTCGACCTCTTTCCCAAATATGCCGAGGAAACCGGTTCTTGTTTTTTGACGATGCTTGTTCACAAATTTAGAAAGATCGATGGTTCTATCTTGGTCGAATTCTGCGAGTGCCTCGTTGGGATCGTAATTTGGGTAGGTGCAAGGATTACCCAAATATTCTGCGTAAGATCTTTCAAGTTTTCTCAAGTAATAAGCCCTCTTTTCAAGCGCATGCCTCAACTTCCTGACATTTCTATATACAACTGCCTCCTTGACCGGACCTAACTCCAGTGATTCGTAAAATTCCTTGAGCGCCTGATCCGTTTGCAGCTCCTTTGGAATGACGGTCACCATCACGGTCCTTGTGGTAATTGAATTCTTCCACTTGCAATAATATCGATGGCGAACTTCCGAGAACTCTCGGTAGTTATAAAATGTAAAATAAAATGTTGCCAACGAAAATACCCAGGTGAATATCACGTATGACACCAGAACACCAAATGATTCAGGAATTTCGATCGGGAGATCCACTGGATCGTCGTCAAGATTTTTGACCATGTCGTTTTTCGAATAATAGACCGAAAACTTAATCGGCGAAAGTATCACTAGACCGAAAAAACCGCAAAACGCAAAAAGCTTGTACGACATTTTGAAGAATGCCAGAAGCTTGATAAAAATAATCATCTAATTAGTTGAACAATCATAGAGGCAACGCGCATTTTTACATCGTCTCCTACCACAGCAGCATCCAAACCGACGCGATCCAACACCGCGGATTCTGGAATTTTGAGTAAAGGAATGATCCAACCGAAAAACGATTTCGGCAAGGGTTGAGGGGCGAGCCTTAAGAAAACATGCTTATATATTTATCCAACTCTTTCAAACAAAAATTATGTCAAATGAACATGTGATATACCCCACGAGACGGCTTCGAGCGGCGAACAGAGCACTCCATCGTGTCCGAAGAAAGCAGAAAAAAAGAAAAGAAGTTACGCCTATTGTTGAGGCGAACACGAGCTGGACTGTCAGAAGGGCAGTTTTGCCTTTTGTCGAGTAGACGAGAACATGAAATGTGATAAGTCGATATGCTATGCAATATGGAGTCAAGTAATTCCCAATTTACCAACCAGCGTCGTCTAAAGTTCTTCCTCCTGAATTCATTTTAAATATACATAAAGTTGCGGCAAATCCAATTTACCCAAAGGCTATTAAAATGGCGGCCGGCCAGAAGGCAAATTGTAATCGAGATGATCCTTATGATTATCTGAAAAATATTTTAATATTTTCCTTTTTTAGCATCGAGCAATTTATTTTTTTATGAAATCCTTTTAATGTACTGTATGTATACATACAGTATGTACAGTATATTACCCATTTGAAAACGAAAACGAAAAAAAATTACTATACTAAAGCTCTTTGTTTATTAACGGTTTTTTTTATATCGATTTTTTTTGAGGAGGGTGGCTTTTTGTAATATAAATAAATAAGTTGTATTCAATAAATAGAATAGATAGGTTCCATACATTTTTGGAAACCTTCAAAGAGGTCTTTGTCTATTTTATTTTTAAGGGTTTTCATAGACGACCGTTTAATCAATCGGCCAATTGGATCCGTATTGATGATCATGCGGCAGCTTAACGATATATTTAATCGTGTAAAAAGACTCGACAATTCTCCCCATTTTCCACGATGATGTCTCGGACCGATGAAAATGAAGAATGGCTTGACGCGGCAATTAAGAAGCGCCATATTAGATCATACGAATACGGCTCATTCGAACAAATTCAACTCATCGCTACGGGCGGGTTTGGTAAGGTTGAAAGGGCATACTCGAAAACTGCAAGAAAAACCGTGGTTTTAAAAAGCTTGCATAAGCAAGAGCAACAATTTTATAAATTGTTTGTGAAAGAAGTAATAATATTTATCTACTAATTTATTTTAGAATTTTAATAATAATATTTACACGCGTTATGTCAATATTAATAGTTACAAAATATTAGTGCAGTGGATGACAGCGATAATGTCATAAGGTTCTTGGGAATTAGCAAGGGTAAATATCTTATACGGCTTCAAAATATTTATAATTTAATTTAAACTTGTTCTATATCACTAGACGATACCATGGGCACGTATTTTTTGATATTTCAGTATGCCAACGGAGGAACTCTTCAGGATTATTTGCGTGATCTATATAGAAATGGTCGTTTTTCCGAACTCGGGTGGCCGAGAAAGATTGAGATGGCAAAAGACATTGCAAGTGGTTTATACCGTATACATGCGGCGAATATTATTCACCTAGATCTAGTACGTATATGCTACATGATTCACCTTAACAGTTAAAAATGCCTTGTCAACTTTATTCAACATTTTTTAGCACTCCAAGAACGTCTTAATTCATAATAATAAGTTAATGATCACTGACTTTGGCCTATCTAAGTTTCGAGAGAAGATCCGAGAGAAGATCAGAGAGGAGACAACATCCATTGTTGGGTGCGCGCCACAGATTTATTGTGACCCACTATTTTTAGATGATCATTCCTATAAACAAGATAAATCCTCCGATATCTATAGCTTGGGTGTTCTTTTCTGGGAAATATCAAGTGGAAGAGCTCCTCAGATTGGATTTTTGGACATTATTAAGGGGAAAAGAGAAACACCGATCGATGGTACTCCGTTGGATTATAAAAACATTTATTCTAAAGCTTGGCATGGTGATTCAAAACAACGTCCAACAATCGAAAACATTCTGGAATGTCTTGAAAATATCAAGTTAGAACCCGTGTTTCAGACAAATATTAATGTAGACGAAAATTCCAGTAATGATAGTTTTTGTATGTCACAAGATTTAATTAGTAATAATAGTTTGTGTATGTCACCAGATTTAATTAGTAACAATAGTTCATATCGGTCAGAATATTTGATTAGTAACGTTTCTTCTGATAATGAGAATGGTTGGTGTCGTGAAGATAAAATATGTAAAATTAATGAGGCGAATATAAAAACTCGAATTGAATTGGTAAATTCGGATATTACATTCGAGACGTATGTCTTAGATGACATTCAGGATCAACGAGATAAGGTCAAATCATATTTTGCGAAAGGGAATTACGTGAAGGCACTAGAACTTTGGGAACTCATTCTTAAGGATTCTCGACATACGCCAGAAGATCGGAGGTACGCTTCAAACTGGAATCTGCGAAAGGAACTTAATGAAATAAAAGGAAAAGAACTAGCTAAGGCTCTATGCAAGAATAGCATCATAACCGAATTAGATATAGGTTGGAATAGAATAGGAGATTCGGCAGGAAGGACACTGGCTGAGGCTCTATGCAAGAATGCCACCCTGACGAATTTAAATATTAGTGGTAACGAGATAGGAAATTCGACAGGAGAAGTACTGGCAGAGGCTCTATGCAAGAATACCACCTTAAAAAATTTGAATTTAAAGGGTAATAATATAGGTGATTCGGCGGGAAAAGAACTGGTCAAGGCTCTATGCAAGAACGTCACCCTGACTAATTTAAATTTACGCAATACAGGATTGGGAGATTCGACATTCAGTGCACTGGCTGAGACTCTGTGCAAGAATACAACCCTGACCGAATTAAATATAGGTTATAATCATATGAAAGATTCTGCAGGAAGTTTACTAGCAGAGGCTCTATGTAAGAATACTACCCTGACCAATTTAAATATTAGTGGTAACGAGATAGGAGATTTGGCAGGAAAAGCACTAGCCAAAGCTCTATGTAAGAATACCACCTTGACCAATTTAAATATTAGTGTCAACAAGATAGGAGATTCGGCAGGGAGAGCACTGGCTGAGGCTCTATGCAGGAATACCACCCTAACTAATTTGGATTTGCGAATTAATAACATTGGAGATTCAACGAGACAAGCATTGGCTAAAGTTAGACGTCGGAATACCAACGTGAAAATTTTAATCCAATCTTCTATGTTAATAGATTTATCGCGATTACATTGATAATCAGGCGGTGGTGGTGGGGGCGACTTCTCGATTTTATTTTGATAACATTAATGATTTTATTTAATTAATAAAATTTAAAAGTGAAGGAAATTTATTAATTCAAGGATACGCATGTACAGTATATTTTAAATAAGTTTAATAAAACTAAAAATTTTATTATAATCTTATACTATATAATATTTGTTTAATAAAGTCATTGATTTCATTCAAAATAAATTAAAAAGGTTTTTAATCTTACACAATATCCTTTTTTAAAATTTAATGTTTTAATAATTATTGCCTTAATTGAACAACTTTTAATACTTTATTTTAATAAATATTATCTTAATTGAACAACTTTTAATACTTTATTTTAATAAATATTACCTTAATTGAACAACTTTTAATACTTTATTTTAATAAATATTACCTTAATTGAACAACTTTTAATACTTTATTTTAAAATTAAAATCAAAATTATATTTTTATTTTACTTTATTATAATTTTTAAAAGGCATTTTAAAAGCTTGTTATAATATAATTCAAGTTGCGAATGAAATATTTTTAATTAAAAAAACTTTTAATGTTGATAATAAATTTATTGAACCTATTTTTTATATCAAGTATCAAAAAATTAATATTCTATTGACATTATTTGGTTTTTAGATTGTTCAAGCAATTCTTCAACATTCATTGATCCCATGTTTCCTGTATCATTAATAGATAGATGTGTTCAATTTATCTTTGTTTCATAAAAAATAAAGAAATAAAAATTCAATGTATATATATATATATATATATATATACCATGTGATTCCATTAGTTTCAATAATTGCTGTTTACTATACTCAATTGCAGACTTTTGGCATTGTTTTATTGTTCCTAAAAAAAAATTTTTTTTTATAAGATCATCAAATCAACTTAATAATAAGCTTCAACAATATTAATTACCTCCTAAATGTAATACGTGAAAAAGGCAAAGCCTGGACTTTACATGGGTAATAAAACTTAGCGCACCCCAAACAAAATGATAATGCTCTCTTGATACCCTTATGATACCAATGTTTGTGTGTGGGGAAAAATATTTTACTGGTTTTTTTTTTTTTTTTTTTAATAAATTTAAGTAAACATAATAAAAACTTGGATACAAAAGGCACAGTAAAAAAAGAAAAAAGGTACCACTTAGAGAAGAAACAACGCAACCAGAGCCATAGTCACCGAAATTTTGTTGAACGGATTCTTTCACGACCGAACCGATATCGCGAGTCGTCAATAGCTCACGTTTTTTTTGTGAGGTATCTTCAAAAATGATTTCAAATAGAAGCCAACGATTCTTTAAACGAACCATGATTTAAGAAAGCATCGTAGTATTGTTATCGATCAACCAATTTTAGCATTTGACCAATAGGCAACGGCGGTCCGGTGATCATAACTTATTTGTGTTTGAGTAATGCAATATTTGTTCGGCATACTGTAGTACTCTTATGACTGACGTCCGACGCCAGGTATTACTTCTGTATCGCCCATCTTCATGATCACGAATTCTATCATACTATAACTTATTTTTGATCTTATTCGAGTTCCTTATGTTTATTCTTTTCAGTTTCGAATTCCATCATCACTAACAGCAGATTTTCTACTGTATATTATTGGATGCCTCATGTTTTCAACTCCACGACATTGCGAATTCCATTATCTCCATTAATATCCGATTTTTATCCTAATTAATCTAATTAGTGCCTTATGCAAATTCTTCGGGGGCTGTTTCAAGCGCTCGACGATAAAAGTGAT